AAACTAACCAGTGTACTGTATTTATTTATACAAGCTGTGTCAACTCTATACTTCCCTGTATCCATATCTCACCAGTTTACCTTGGCTACTTATGGTAAATCCTTGTATCCTAAACTAACCAGTGTACTGTATTTATTTATACAAGCTGTGTCAACTCTATACTTCCCTGTATCCATATCTCACCAGTGTACCATGTCTACTTATGGTAAATACTTGTATCCTAAACTAACCAGTGTACTGTATTTATACAAGGTGTCAGGTCTAGACTTCCTGTTATCCTTATCTCACCAGTGTACTGTATGTATACAAGCTGTGTCAGGTCTAGACTTCCTGTTATTCTTATCTCACCAGTGTACTGTGTGTATACAAGTTGTGTCAGGTCTAGACTTCCTGTTATCCTTATCTCACCAGTGTACTGTATGTATACAAGCTGTGTCAGATCTAGTCTTCCTTGTATCCTTATCTCACCAGTTTACTGTGTCTACTTGTGGTAAATCCTTGTATCCATATCTTACCAGTGTACCATGTCTACATAGAGTAAATCCTGTTAATCCTTATCTCACCAGTGTACTGTATTTATACAAGTTGTGTCAGGTCTAGACTTCCTGTTATCCTTATCTTACCAGTATACTGTATGTATACAAGCTGTGTCAGGTCTAGACTTCCTGTTATCCTTAACTCATCAGTGTACTGTGTCTCAAGTATTATCAGTTTAAACTTCTTACTTGTAGTGAACTATTGTAATCTTCTCTCTATCTCATCTATGTACAAATCTAAAATTCCTGTTATTGTTGTGAAATCATGTTTAAGAGTTCAGTATTAATAATACACAAACAGGTAGCAGTTCTTTAGTTTAGAAACAAATCTAAATGTGGAGATTTCAGGACACAAACAAGAATGATAATTGTGGTTGAATATGAGTAATGTAAAATAAAAAACACACAAAAATGTTAAGTAATCGTCTAATGATTATAATATCAAATGCTCTAATTAAATACAATTCGTATATTAAACATACAAAAAGTTTTTAACTTGCCTGATTTAAAATCAAACAGCACAAACTCCAAAACAAGGTTATACTTAATGTTCCATACATCTACACTGATCTATAAAACAAATTTAAAAGTGTATAGTTTCTTACATATTATGAGTCTAGCAGTATAAGTAGTAGGGCATCCTAAAGAAATTCTTTAAATGAAATGAGTAAAACAAATATATAACATATATTCTGGAGTTCATGGTCATTTTTTCATCATATGAAATGTCTATGTTACTCCAGTCAGCCCTTTGATGTATGATTTGACATATAAACACAAATGCGTGAATGATTAACTTAGTTAGACCACGTGTGGCCCATTGATTATCAAGGTCCAATCCACCACAGAACACCCTATATACTATATGCTATTGGTGAATTATAACTGATAGTTCAACCTGTATTTGGTTAAAAAGTTGTCATGTAGGTAACAGATGCTGACATATGGGTTGCCCATTTTTTGGTCAGCACTCAAAGCTAGGAATGGCCAATTAATTAATTAGATAGCTATGTAAAGAGCATATGTTGCTGACATTCTAATTAAGGATGCCTTTATATTTGGATGTATGTATAGTAATATATTTGTTTGTTGTCAATAATAATCTGTTGAAATGTGAGAAGATACATTGTTTTTAAGTGTTTCAGAATAAATCAAGAGTTAAATTTATGTACTTCAATGTTCACAGTCCGGCCTGAGTTTACAGACACAACAGCTATTAAGAATGGACATCATCCAATTCTTGAAAAGATACAGCTAGATTCTCCGGTTCCTAACAACACGGTAAGTGTAACATTTCCCTAGATGGTAACAACTTCAGAAACACAACACATTAGAAATTAACTTCATCTGTTCTGAAAGGAAATTCAGCTACATTTTGCCACCCAGTGGTGGATTAAGACACCTTGGGGCCTCGGGACAGTGAATAATATGGGACCCCTCATGCATTTTATTTTTGTTGTACAAGACAAGTGTTACTTCACAGTTAAGTATACACCTTGGTCTACAGATATTTGTACATTTATAATTAAATTCCATTGTTTTATTTATCTACATTTTTAATTGTTAATCCTATTTTAAGAGTATAAATCTTGCACAAAAATTATTTATTTATAACTATAATAAAATTTCAAATAGCACTCCTAATTTAAAAGAAATGTTTTTTAAAATCTCATTTCCTTTCTAATAATTCTTCCTTTTTCAAAAACACTATTTACATACAGTATTCCAGCCTAAAATATGTTTTCCAAGCTAAATACTTATTAAGCTGAACTTATAGAAAGTGTATAAAGATCTTAATTTGGCAATTGAATAATTTTGATTTCAATTCAGTAATACTTAGAAATTTTATATTATTATGAGCAATATGAGTATCAGGCTATTATTCAAAATTTATAGTATTACGTTTTTTAAACAGAAGGTTTTATTTTCAGTTTATTTCCAAAAACAACAACTTTCTTGTCATCACTGGGCCTAACATGGTAAGTGTTTCCTCTGTGGTTTTCAAGTCTCGAGAATTGTAAACAACTCTTCCCACACTTTTTGTTAATTGTTCAGTACTTACTCCTTGGAAAAGCCAAACTGGCCAAAAGTAAAATCCTCTTCGAAGTTAGTTCAGATTTTAAAAAAAATTAAAGTGTTGAAGGAAATATTTCAATTATCTAATGTTATTAGTTTGGCTCATCTAGAGTTGCCCCATAGTGGCACAGTGATAAGTGTGTAGGCTTACAATGCTAAAAACCAGGTTTTAATACCTGTGATGAGCAAAGTACAGATAGCCTATAGTGAAATTTTGTGCATTACAACAAACAAATAAACCATATAGAGTTTAGATAATGAAAATATTAAAAATAGTTCTTCATTGATACCTTTTTCATTCTCATATTTTAACAGATATTTATAACTGCAGAAAATGCTTAATATTTTAGTAGCTTTGATCTACAGTATAATTCAATGTTTGCTTCTCATAACAAATCATGTCACTGCTAAGTGTAGTAGGTTCATGTTTGCTTCTCAAAACAAATCATGTGACTGCTAAGAGTAGTAGGTTCATGTTTGCTTCTCATAACAAATCATGTCACTGCTAAGTGCAGAAGGAGCATGTCTGCTTCTCATAACAAATCATGTGACTGCTAAGAGTAGTAGGTTCATGTTTGCTTCTCATAACAAATCATGTCACTGCCAAGTGTAGTAACTGTTCTTGTAACAAATCATGTGACTACCAAGTGTAGTAGGTTCATGTTTGCTTCATGTAACAAATCATATAGCTTCTAAGTATATTAGAGTATTTTTAATTCCAATAGAGTGGCAAATCAACTTACCTAAAACAGGTGGCACTACTACAGATCATGGCCCAAATTGGTTGTTTCGTCCCAGCCGAATATGCTTCTTTTCGTATCACTAGACAGATTTTCTCCAGAATTGGGAGCAATGATGACATTGAATCAAACTGTTCTACATTCATGTTGGAGGTAGGTGTACCTAATCAAACTGTTCTACATTCATGTTGGAAGTAGGTGTACCTGATGAAACTGTTCTACATTCATGTTGGAAGTAGGTGTACCTGATGAAACTGTTCTACATTCATGTTGGAGGTAGGTGTACCTAATGAAACTGTTCTATATTCATGTTGGAGGTAGGTGTACTTGATGAAACTGTTTTACATTCCTGTTGGAAGTAGGTGTACCTAATGAAACTGTTCTACATTCATGTTGGAGGTAGGTGTACCTAATGATACTGTTCTATATTCATGTTGGAGGTAGGTGTACCTAATGAAACTGTTCTATATTCATGTTGGAAGTAGGTGTACCTAATGAAACTGTTCTACATGTAATGTTGTCAGTGATAAAGATTATTTTGTAGGTGTGTAAACCCTAAAGTAGTAAGATGGTACTAAGGTCAGTAATAAAGATTCTATTGAAACTGATTGTTGTTTCCCCATTGAAAATTACCCGAGTCTGTTGTTTGAGAATCGCAGTTATGTGTGGAACATTATTCTTTATTTATTTTCTGTAGAGCATATTGGTGTATAGAAGACATTTTAATACTAGAAATAAACAATCTTATAACACCAAATTGTTGTTCTTCTTTAATTGTACATTCAACGTTTCACTTTACAGCTTTTTCAGGAGCGTTCTACTAAAACACAGACCATAACTGTAGTTTATGGAAATATCAATTTTAGTAATACATAATAAAGTAAATTAAATGGGATAGATCTTATAACTTCTTGGATGTTTTGTGAATACAAATATTGTTTTAAAATAAATCATGTTACATTTTAAGATATGTACAGTGATGATATACTTGTAATTGTGTTGGAGGTACAGTATGTCATTGAGTGAGAAAGCTAATTTTCCAGAATTTATGTATCAATGAGAAAATATGTGTAACTTTAACAAACTCTACAGATGAGAGAGATTAACTATATCATACAGAATGCTGATGACTCTTCTCTGATCATCATTGATGAACTTGGAAGAGGTAAGGACTGCATTATGTTTTTGTGTTATTTAATTGTCAAGTGTTCTTCTATAACAATAATAAAAGTTTTGTAGTGAGACTAATAAATATGTTTGATTATATGAGTGGGTGGTTTCATGTTGTTTCAAGCATGTTGAATACTTGAATTATCTTTATGATTCGATTTTTTAACTTCATTATTACTTGTAGTTGTAGTTTTGAGAGAGTTATAATTTATTATTCTTTTCTAAGCTTGCTGAATGATTCTGGTAATAAATGTATTAAAACAAAGTGACTTTTGTGACATTTATAATCCCTGATGAAAATAGTTTTCAAAGAACTAACTACTTTAGTTCATAAACAGGTACAAGTGTAGAAGAAGGTATAGGACTTTGTTATTCCATTTGTGAATACTTGGTGAATAAAAAGGTATGTACAGTTTCATTTGTTTGATTTAATTGTCTCATTATGGATTTTACAGTAGGATTAACAAGCACTGGTGATTTGTTGCCCAAATGACATTTTATATCTTCAAGTAACTAATACACATTGTTTCCATGTAAGTAAGGAAGGAATTACACACATAAGTCAAAGATTTATTTTATCATAAATGTCATCAATACAAATATGTAATACCATGGATCAAAACGCATCTAAGATATAGGTTCCAATAGCTTTTGGTTAAATCAAGATAACTAACTAGATTCTACAGATCCAGAAATAACTTATGCATAATATAGATTCATAAATATTACCAAGGATCAAAATAGGTTTGTATAGCAATATGTATTGAGTCCTTTGCAATATAGAGTGACAAACTGTTTGACATGTCTGCCGAAAATACAAGTAATAGTGACATTTTCGTTATTAAATATCACATTCCTAATAAAATACAAATTCTTTACAACAGAAAATGTGAAGTTCGTGACTAATAGGATAGACAATACTGATATGAATTAACACATTATATGTAAATGGACATGAATTGGCAGAAAATCAGTGTTTTTACCATTTAGAGTTTTGATGTTAATATTAGTTATTCGTGTTGGCAGCAATACAATTAAATTGTTAAGTTTGATTTGAAAAAACTGAAGAAAGATTCATGCGATCGTGTGTTATCCTTGGAACCCTTTTAAATAATGAACAATAGATGAAGCTATTAACAACATGGATACTCAACTATGAATAGATGCATTTTAGTCATTTGATTACATGGATAACATAGACTAACTTGTAAGTTATTTTGTTGTTCTCATCCAGTGCCAAATTAAGCATCTGTGGGGCCCATAGCATTTTTAGAAGATGGGGCCCCTATCTGCCAGAAAATATGTTCTTCACGATCATTTTAATTTTTAAAAGTATTATGACTGGTACAGTTTTATTCAATTTTTGGAAACTTTAGTAGTAAATGAGAAAAATGTACTTATATCAAAATATTTCTTTTATTTATGATAAATGATCTCTAAAATAAGCATCAGTAATTAATCTTTCTCTTGAATGAACAAGCTGACAAACACTGTTTATATTACAAACCAGCTTTCAACATTGCATTCTTTCGACACTTTCGGTGCCAAAGTCATTCGTCAGAGCAGAAGTGTCAATCTCATGAAGTAGACCATACTCACTACTCATCAGAGTGAGCATATTCAAACAATTGTATTTAAATGCATTTAAAAAAGTTTTTCTTATGGAGGCAGAGGCCCCCATAAGTGCGGGGCCTATGGTATTTGCTACTTATGCTAATAGGCTAATCCAGCAGTGGTTCTGGTCTGTTTAGTTATCATACTTTGATGAAAAGCTATTAATATTTGTAAGTACATGATACCAAAATTTTAAAAACTTGCACATTGAACCAAATCATGAAGAAATATTCCTTATTCAATAATAAAAACATTAAAATAATCATTTAATGATAATTGCTTTTCCAAAATTTAGTTTTCTAATCATTTATATTTTGACTAGCACAACTTATTATTCAAGTTTGCACATTTATTTTCACCCTTATATACAAGCAATTAATTTTATGCCTCAAGAATCAAATCCATCTTATAAACTAGAGTGGCTAACATATACCAGTTAAAGACATTATTTTATTCCTAGAAAACATAATCCATGTTATACATTGAATATCTGACTAATCAATCTTTTACCTATATAAAAACAATGCTTTTTACCAAGAAAACAGAACAGTATTATACCTTAAACATGTGGCTCACCCATCTTACATGCAGATAAAGACAGTATTTTATGCCTAGAAAACATAACCCATGTTGTTCCAGATAAAGACACTGTTTTATACCTAGAAAACATAAACCAATGTGCTATTACTAGTGGTAGGGCAAATAGGATTTTAGGTTGTGTCTATAGAAATATTTAATACAAGTCTAAAGAGGTTAAACTTTCATTGTAGAGGCCACTGGTTAGGCCACATTTGGAATATTGTGTTTAGTCTTGGGCTCCTTACCTTAGGAAGGACACTGAATTATTAGAAAAGGTTCAGGGAAGGGTTTCTAGAATGGTGCCTAGGATGGAGGGGTTGTCATATGATGAGAGGCTGAAATCTCTCAAATTGTTTTCTCTTGAAAAAAGAAGAGCTTTGGAGGATCTGA